GGCCTAAGTAGGGCATATTCACGGAAACACTGTATAGTACTCTCTAATAATAACTCAAGTTATGACCATGACCGTTTATATATTTTTAATAAAACCAATTTCTTCTAATTTTAAATACATTTTCCCCTGAATGCGTGATAATTCGATATCACGCATAGACTTGTTCTAAATGCGTGACACATTTAGCCGAAAGTTCCACTGATTAATCTCAGATAAGATAGTATAATACATACTCCAAGTATCGAAATGCACGCTATTGCACGACATTTAGGATCACACATGTGTTTCTGCAAAATGCATGTTTCATCCAAAATTACTTTGAAATGCGGGACCGTCCCGCCACAATGAGAGGCGGTTGGGAACTATGCTTCAGGGCTGTAAATCGGTAGCCTACCACTAATATGTAATGTGAAAAGAGGGAAAAAGTTAAATTACAGTCAATCCCTTTATTCATCAAAAATTAGCATAAAATATAAGTAAGCCCATATTAATATTAATTGTACCTGTCCTACTGTACCGGTATTATATGAGGGCTAAACGTCTCTTCCACCAGAAAACATAGCGCATGTTAAGTACGCTGGACACCTCTAATGATGGTCTAGTCTACTTCGGGCACAGTCGCGTTGACTCACGGCGGCTTAAGACTGTACCCCGACGATGAATAGCGTCGGGCCGGGCTGTGCCTTGATGCTGTCTGAGTTGGCCTAAGCATTGTAGTCCTAACAACGTACAGGGGAACTATAGTGTAATTCCGTATTTTGGATTGAATGTCCCATCTACTTAGGACATCTGCCGCCATGTCGCCAACATGTTTGTGTGTGTGTGTGTGTGTGTGTGTGTGTGTGTGTGTGTGTTGTTTGGGCCTAATCAACATACCTAAATAGGTGGGACCTTCTATAAAACCCTACGGACCTTATTTCTATAGGCCCTCTTGCTATACTCTAAGATGAATAGATTGTATTGGAATTTGTGTACGCTTTTACAAAAGTGGCGTCGATCCTTGGTTGAAAGTGAGGGGGGGGGGTGGTGGGGACGAAATGAAAAAAAAACCTTTTTATTGATTTTAAGCAATGCAATTAACATTTATTTCCATACGAAATTTTTAAAATATCCATTGGCGGATCCAGTAATTTGAAATAGAGCGGACCCAGAGGGACTTTTACTGATGGAGAGTGTAGACCACCTCCGTCCCACCATGGGAGGTAAGAAAATTTATAATTATGGCACCTCTAGTTGGTCTGAAATGGCACTCTCAGACTAAATTTGAATATAATTTTCATTTTTCTACACTTTTAAATTTCGAAGAAAAAAAAAATAGGGATGTTGGGCCCCTTGAAATCTGCCACTGAAATACTCATCATAAAAAAAGTTTTTAAAATTATCCATTTAGTCATAATTATGCCGCTTACATATTTCGTACAAACTAACATTCATAATGATATATTAACTACTGATTAGCTTGTGACGTATTCAAAATTGGAACAATGAAAAACAAATAAGATAAACTTAAACAATGATTAATTTAGACTTTTTGCATGTACACTATTTTAAAAATAAATCAAGAGATTTTTGCTTTTCTTCCCTTTTTGAATTTCACACTTTTGTATTAGTAATATTACGACTACACTATTGTGAGTGGAAATAATATCAGTCTATTCTCAAAGTGAAATCACCTCGACCTGACGAAATAACGTAAAATTATCAGCCATATAATCTGCCATATATATTGCTCCAAAAGCTCCAAAAAATACGACATGGTTCTTCTTGCAACATTTTCGTTTAATAGCGAGAATAGCCTAAATAGCAAAAGCGTTTCACGCTGACATTAGCTGTTTTTAGGTCATTTTTTGTATTTCCACAGTCGTATCTCGGCAAATACTTGTGGGATTTTTGTGTTGCCTTCTGTATTTGGAAGGCAATCCATTTCTGATTGCTTTAGTATTTGTTTCAATTGTATTGCTTGAAAAAGTCACCGTCATTTTTCACTTTTCGATTGGTGCTATGCTGACCGCCCACCGCGTAGATCCTGCATTTTTACCTCTAGAGACTTCGTTGGCTTTAAATTGCCATTTCGGATGTTCACCAATCAAAAATTTTGTTGTTCATTCCCCCCCCCCCCCCAACCCAGTAAACGGAAAGATGAATATTCATAGATTCTTCTCATATAAAATATATGAATTCCCATGGGATAAAAAAAAATCACCATGAAAACACTAATTTCAATATGAATGAACAATCCTGTCTAGGAATTATGCCCGCAAACATACGAAGCTTTTGTATAGCCTTCCGCCATTGTCAGAGAGTCTGAGGTCTGGAGGCCCTGGCGTTAAAAAAAAAAATGGTTCGTGTGGGAATCGAACTCACAACCTCCTTCCGTCATGGAAGCTCACTGGCTGACTGTAATTCATGTTGAGCAGACTTAAAAGCTGGAAGAAAGTTTTAGACAGTGCCCATGGAAGGATTTTAATACTGTGGAATAGAAGTTAGCGAAGCATTATTCGAGCACCTTCATCATCATCATTATTATTATTATTACTAATAAAAATCAAAACTATGACGATACTTTTGAGAATGATCATTTCAGGCAATGTTTCATACATGTTTCCACAGATCCTACTGTCATCATCAGTGTACAGAGATTCCATATAGGCAATCTTATTTAAACGAAGTGAAGTTTGTAATACGTCAATCTATACGTAATTCAACCGTCTACAAGTATTATTATTATTATTATTATTTTTATTATTTTTATTATTTTTATTATTATTATTATTATTATTATTGATATTATTATTATTATTATTATTGATATTATTATTATTATTATTATTTATTTTATAAGATTATTTTTTTAAACAGAATCAAATACATTACGGTAGATAACATTTTTATTTAAAACCAGGTTTTGCATGAACGTAATTTTATTTAACGTAATTTTATTTAATATGCTGATTAATATTATTATCTCATTAATCAAACTATCGCACAATTTGGGAAAGTAAAGCAGGTTTTGCATGAACGTAATTTTATTTAACGTAATTTTATTTAATATGCTGATTAATATTATTATCTCATTAATCAAACTATCGCACAATTTGGGAAAGTAGATATCACCTGAGCCCCACCATGGTTGGGGCTGAGAAAAGAAAATTTATGATTGTGACACCTTTAGATTGCCGGAAATGGCACTCTCAGACTTAAAATTTAATTGAAATTAATCTTGCTTTTGTTTTTTCCATTAAAAAAATAATTTGTAAAAATTTAGGTTTGGCTCGGCCCCACTTGAATTCGCCACTGATTATTATGACGTCATTTTGAGATTGCGTCAACGTAACACTGGAGTTAGTAAAATTTTGGTATCAGTAAATCGAAATAGATGTCCGTGTCAAAGGCTGTATAATTATTGTTTAATAATGGCTATATAAAATTCAGTTGACTAACTATAATTTTTTTTTTTTTTGAAATTAGGAAAAACAGTAATCCTATGTATGTAGATAATATTAAACACTAGTATATACCGTACGTACGGGTCATAATACCGTAATATACAAAAGGAATAAATCGTTTATAGTAGAAATTGTGCACTTTTGAGTTTGTAAAAACATTGGCCTAATAAGTATACACGCTTCCAATTTTAACAACGTTAAGTACATTGTTTTCACAATAAATTTAGCTTCTGATAACCGCTGCACCCATGAAATCGATCAAGTGTTTCTGAAATGATTATGAAAAGTATAAACAATTACGTTTTTACTCAGTTTTGGTCCGGAAAATATGTACCGCACTTGGAAAAGTGAACAGGCAAAATTCATGAGTCATGCGTAATTATTATTCTTTCCATACACTTTTAAAAGTGGGGTTTTAATTATAGAAGATTAGAGAAAAGTGGGGGGGGGGACAATCGATATGATGTCCCCCTCCCCCTACTTTGAAAAGTGGGGGTGACGTGTCCCCCTGTCCCCCACCGATCGGGGTCAGGAAGAAACGCTGTATTCGTCCTCCGGGCTTCACATTAAAGGGCCCGGCAATACTTGCACACTGGGCCCATCACCACCTAGACGCCGCTTTTATTTTGTGGTAGAAAATTTGAATTGCTAATTTAGAAAAACCACATACATTACCCAAGTCACAAAAACAAGTTCAGGCCCGTATCCAGGGGGGTTTTTTATGGTTCGGGAGAACCCCCCTCTTTTTTGGCGAACCCACCTCTTCAAATTTCCCAAATTTGAAGACCCAACCCAACTAATGCACTGCAGACCCCAGACACAGACGTTTTCAAACATATCTGCTTTTATAGCATTATTTAAACCCATAAAGCACAAAAATCCTCTTGCTTTGGGGGTTTCGGCGACCCCACCGGGGCTTCCCGTAATATACAAAAGGAATAAATCCTTTATAGTAGAAATTGTGCACTTTTGAGTTTGTAAAAACATTGGCCTAATAAGTATACACGCTTCCAATTTTAACAACGTTAAGTACATTGTTTTCACAATAAATTTAGCCTCTGATAACCGCTGCACCCATGAAATCGATCAAGTGTTTCTGAGATGGTTATGAAAAGTATAAACAATTGTGTTTTTACTCAGTTTTGGTCCGGAAAATATGTACCGTACTTGGAAAAGTGAACAGGCAAAATTCATGAGTCATGCGTAATTATTATTCTTTCCATACACTTTTAAAAGTGGGGTTTTAATTATAGAAGATTGGTGAAAAGTGTGGGGGCACAATCGATATGATGTCCCCCTCCCCCTACTTTGAAAAGTGGGGGTGACGTGTCCCCCTGTCCCCACCGATCGACGCCCATGCGTTACAATCAATTTCCTTTTATTGTTTCATTGTTTGACGATAAAGTTTAATGTATATTGCATCTTGAGTATATTCCTATACGTATGTATATACAGTATTTAATTTCTTATTTGAACTTAAATCTAAAAACTATTGGCTTTTGCAATATCTGCATTTTACATTTTAGTTTTGTATTAAATTTTACTAATGTTTGTATTAAGGTTTTATATTTTATCTTCTGATTCTGATTTAAATTTAGATTTAAATTTGTAGTTAAGATGTTTTCTGTAATTTGCTTGTTACATGTTCAGGGTCCCAAATGATTAGCTTTCCTGGATGGTTCACCCTCATATAGTTCAAATAAATAAGTAATAAATTGATTAATAAATCAGAAAGACCAATAATTTTTCATTGTATGCGATGAATAATGTGGCTATAAAAATTAATGTTACTGTAAGTTATAATAGATTCTAATATTTGGCAATTGAACGACGGGCACATTGCGTAAAAGTTTCAACTATATTTTCAAAAGGCAGCTGGATAAATAAAGGCTGACTTTAAAATTGGTATTTAATGTGGGGTTGTCTCACTTTCTGATGACAAGATCGTCGATCACTTGGTGACGCTTAGCTTTGTTTAAGTTCTCCAGACGAGAATTTATTTAAAAATAGCAGTCATGTAAATATTCGATGAATCATTGGTATTTTGCAACGTCGTCTCGTAGATGTGTTCGTTTGTTGACTTGGGCTGGATGTCTTGGCTGATGCACATGCGTTGGTTCAATTTGCGTGATGTGAGTTTAACTCGGCTGAAACACAAGACATACAATAATTTTCTAGGAATAGTTGCTGAAAATTATATTCTCGCCATTGGGCTTAGAAATAGAAATAATTATTTTCGAATATTTGTTGAAGTATTATTTATCTTTACATATAAGGACGCAACCGTTACTGTTTATCCTTGAATAAACAATGGTGGTATATCAATTTGAAGATTCTTTCAAATTTTTTCTCGTTGGAACAAATTTGTTCCTTTTGTACGGGCAGTTAAATAAATTCTTAGAAGTTATATTTGAACATTCTTTGAACTTACCGACAACATGCTATGTTGACGAAAACTGAGATACTCAGTAAAACAAAGCCAACAATTAGAAAACTAGATGACCATTCTGTTAATAAAAATAAACTAGGTTCACATAAGAGCAACATTTCGTTTTAGTTTGAACATTCATTATCCGGGCCAGCATGATGAAAATAATGGAGCAGAATTGGCACTTACGTGTATCTTTGCCTTTGTCTTTTAGAGTAACTGCGAATTCAAACCATTTTCCAGAACCGACTCCGTTTTCTACACTCACCTAGTTGAAGCAAATATTAGTTGAAGTTATAAACTTGTGGCAACATTCACTGGTAGGCCAATCATTTCTGGACGGGTTTCTCGTCTTACCTTAAAATTGTAGAGTTTGTCTTGGGTGAGATGATGTCCAATCCAGATAGCCGAACCATCACGTGTTGGAGGCAACTCATCAGATATCCAGTTAGAATCGCCAGTGGTATCTTGTCTGTATCTGATGTTGAAATACTTGATGTTCCCAAAGATACCGAGATTATTAGTTCCAATATGTAGATTAATAGGAGATGAGTCAACTATAGCGACGATAGGAGGCGCTGCTTCTAAAGACCCAAGTAATAAAACCTGAATGTTATGTAACATTTATCCACTTTTAAATTATATAAGCAATATTTAAAACAGCGAAAATTGTGGCGGCTACGTTTTGGATACCAGAATGTCTATGTCAGTAGGCCTAATTGTATTCTTTTCTGAGATAGGCCTATTTCTTCTATTAAGAAGACCGGAAAATGATCTAAATTTAAGATTACTTTCTTCAGATGTAAATCCTTTTGTTGATGACTTGGGACCTTCACAATCTTTGTTAGATGAACTAATTTCCACCGCATATTGCGTGTAAGTCTTCATATTATTTATAGTCAGTGTTGTAGTGTTTACGTCAGAAATCACATGACTTCTACGGCTGTCAGAGCCAACTTCAAAATAGAAGATGTTGAAGTGGGTCAAAGGGCACGTGACATTATCATCAGATGGTGTCTGTGGATAAAATTAACACGAGTGATTATGAAATATAAATTCCAAATATTTATCATCATATCATTATCACTGTCATAGTCACCATCTTTGTCACTGCCATAGTCATCGTTAATAACCATCCTTCTCATTATCATATTCATCATCAACAACATCATCATCATTCGTATATTTATTATTCTAGCTACGCCCCACCCTTACGAACAGACTGTGAATACTAGCTTTTGTATTATTAGCCTTTACACACGTAGTCTCAGTTATTGTTTAGTTTTTCACCAATCAGCAGCAAGTCTCACTAATCAAAACTTGAATTATTTCACTGTTTTGGAATTTTCTGCAGACACTATCCTGAAGACGATAAAAACAACTCGAAACGTCGAGATATTCTCAACCAACAACAACAGTTCTTTTCAGAACTATCTATGTGGTGTACGGCAAGCATTAATATATATTATAATTATTGTTACTATATTATTATGAATATCAATACCATTTTTATCATTATTTCATTACTGTTATTATTATTACTATTATTATTATTATTATTATTATTATTATTATTATTATTATTATTATTAATATTATTATATTTCTTAGTCATTATTTTTATCCATATTGTATAATTATTGTTACTATATCATTATGATTATCAATACTATTTTTATCATTATTTCGTTACTGTTATTATTATTACTATTATTATTATTTTTATTATTATTATTATTACTATATTAATATTATTATTATTATATTTCTTAGTCATTATTGTTATCCATACTGTATAATTATTGTTACTATATTATTATGATTATCAATACTATTTTTATCATTATTTCATTACTGTTATTATTATTATTACTATTATTATTATTATTATTATTATTATTATTATTACTATATTATTATTATTATTATATTATTACTATTATTATTATTATTATTATTATTAATATTATTACGATTAATATTATTATATTTCTTAGTCATTAGGCCTATTGTTATCCATACTGTACATACCGACCAATTAATGATCATCTGCTTTGGTGATTCTGTAAATATGATTGGGGAGTCCAGTGCTGAAGGACCTGACGAGAAAATGACACTAAAAAAGATCACCTAAAATAATGATGGCGATGATGATGATAATAATGATAATACAATCATATAAGTATTAAATGAATTCATAATCAAAAAGACCGTCATAATAATATACAACAAAAATGTATAGAGGTGAATGAATATCTGAGGTATCTCAGATGTCTATATTACAAGAGCATCTAGTTTTAAATCCAACAATCGTTCCCGGCCTGCCTTGCCCACCAATTCCTGGCCTCACAGCTGCTATGGACAACTCGTATTCTGTATTTGACGCCAAACCCTTCACTGTGAATTGTGTCGATACGTTTGTACTGTCAATACGGTCGCTCCAATCGCGGTCATGTGATTTTTTATAGAAGATCACGTAACCAATGACGGGCCCGTCACCTCTATCCCCGAAATCTGTGTCCCATGGTCTCCACCTTACTATTACTGAGGTATCATTTGTTTCATCTATGATCGGCCTTCCAGAATATACAGGTAACTCTAAAGAAAAACGGTGGAAATATATGTAAGAAATGATGATGTTTCGTACGATAATAAACCGGATATTGTCAACAGAAGTCCTTAACAGGTTTGCAAGTTTTTGATCGCTTGAGAGGCTCTGAGTGTGATGAAATTGTCATAGTAAACGTATACAGCCACAATGTAAGTTAGTAGGCCTATACAAATAATCTTCGTATTATGATATTTAAGCAATGTGAATGTACCTGTGTTACAAGTTGGCTCGAGCCAGCCAACAAAGCACTTTCCATAGCAGCCTTTCTCAAAATGACAGTAGACTTCTGGGCAATTACAGGTTTCGTTGCAGTCTGCACCGAAGGAGCTATACCGACATGCTAAATACAGCAGATAAAGCATAATGCAGAATATATTTTTTTGTATATTTTATAATAATACAATTGTAAATAAATGATGGGATTTGCTCGGCAAGATTGCTTTCAATGTTACCGAAAAAACTTTTACGGAACCAATCAATGTGGCTGCGGTACCAGTAGTACTATATAATGCGAAATAGGCTATATGTTACAATAATACACTTGTATTGTAAATCAATAATTAGATTTGCTCGGCAGGTTTTGCTTTCAATGTTACCGAGACAAACATTTACGCAACCAATCAGTCTATGTGGCTGTACTATATTTATCATAGGACACTAAATAGTTGGCGATTTAAATTTCGTTGTTTAAAAAACAATAATTAAAAATTACACGGTTTACCATTATGGAGAGGGTGACATGGAATACCCGGCCCACTAGGGTCGAATGCTTTAGAGCGGTTTGATGTGTGATAAGTTTTTTTTTTTCTTCTTTTTTTCCCTTTTTTTCCAGTATGTTTGCATCATTCTAATTTGTAACTCCATTATATTTGATAAAATGAGTAACTATAATAAATAATTTAATATAAGCACATTGGTTTAGTGATATTATTCTGTTTGTACAATGGGTACCTTGGCATAAAACGTGTTCTGAAAGGAAAATAGGCCTACTTTCGGTCGCTCCAAGGGCAATCAGATGATACAAAGCCAGTCAAAAACCAATGCGAGCTACAGTCTCCCTCCAATTAAAGAACAGGGGTCCCAAGTCGAGGGAGTCTCCCGGAAATCGGGAGGGCCTTCTGCACTCCCGCGAGCAAGCAAAAATCTCCCGGAAAGTAAAATATATCCTGCAAATTCACGATATTTGTATGTTTTTACCAATTTTTACTACTGTATTATTAATTGTCTCCCGGATGTCTGTGTCAATGGGTATCACCATCCATAGCAGAATTTATTTAGATATGTTAAGAAAGCTCATTTATTAAAGATCTCCCGGATGTGGATCCTTCCAACTTGGGACCCCTGAAAGAACACATTTGGGAGTTGACTGGGGATTGTTCTGGTGTAGCAGCTCTGGTATCTATATAAAAGTGTTTATCTAATACATATAGTTGGGGTCGGAAATGTGGTCTCGTTAATAAAATGGAGGTGGTCTCTAATTGGAGTGGTCTTCAAACATTCATTTTTATGGGCTATCATATTGAAAAACATTAAACTTACATTCACAGCTTCCATTTTTGTAAACAGTGTATCCAAGCGCACATTGGCCGTTGCTACACGCTCCATGCGAGTCACAACTAACGTCATCCTTACAGTGACATTTTAAAGAACACAATGGTCCGTAGTATCCAATGGGACATACGGCTGGGACTGAGAATTTAAAAAGTGTTCGAACAAAATGAACAAAGAATGATAGCGGTTGTACTTTCTAAGTGCCAGCTAAGCACCTCGATGAGGTTGTGCGTATCACACTGCAGCCAATGAAGAGTTCATGAAGTATCCCTTTTTAACCGATGAATGGGAGCCTACAAAACGATGTGCCGTGTTTTAGTCATTTTTGTAGGTGACAAAATTGCAGGTTCCTTACCTTGGCAAAACGCGCCACTAAATGACGTCATACAGCCATCTCCACATTTACCAGTGAAGGGATCGCAGGTTCCAGATGCACAATTGCATCTTTGTGTACATCCCGCTCCAAATTTTCCCGCTACGCAAGCTAGTGCAATAATCAAAGTATTAATGATAAGAAATAGAAATAAAAAGACTGTACTATATAGTATATCGGTTGCTTGTGAAATTCCCCACCTTACGTATTCTCTTTAGGTCCCTCTTACTTTAATCAACTAAATCTGTTGCTTGCAGGATGAGTTTGTTGACAAAATATAATTACGAATCGCTGAAAACTTGGAATATTTAAGTTTTCAATATTGAGGCCGATGTTGGAACAACCCCATCTTGCATAACATAATACTACACAAGACATATATACAAGATGCTCACATAAACATAACGTCTCATTTTGAGGCTTTAGGGAGTGGAGTTGCTTTTGGTCATGAGAAAGTATGACCATTAATTTGAGGCTGCAAACAATAGGCAAGAAGTGGAAGATGACTTGATATCAGCCTATAGGTTTATTTAAAGTAATAAAAATATTAGAATAATTCCATATTTATACATGTATCACAGTTCGTTCCCATTAATCCCGTCGAACATTCACATCCATACGGGTCTGGAAGACAAAACTGATAATGGCAGGTTTCTTTCGGGTTATGTCGTCTTCTTGTACATTTATATTCGCAATTCCAACCGAACCGGTTACCGCCGCTGTGTGTGTGTGTGTGTGGGTGTATTTGTGGGTGTGTGTGTGTGTGTGTGTGTAACTTTATTCAAACATTGCATCACTGTGATACAGAGTCCTGCAATTTCTGTTGCAGTCTTGTTACTGGCAACCGGTTACTGTAACTAACGAAAAAAAATGTAATTAAAATAAATTAACTAACGCACTTAGTCTGTTGCAATTTCTTTAAGTTTAGGCCTAATACTTTTTTAAAGCAGAGCTTTCTATTATTTAAATTAACCTGCAATTGTGGTCTTCCAACTTGATCTTTGTAAGATTTTCAGCAACCTACATCAAACAACATAGCAGTAAAAGCTGGTGTGTTTTCATTTTAACAATATAACCAAAACGGCATCCAGCGTGACTGCAATTCGTACAGACAGTTGAGTTGTATCAGTGATTTTGTATAAGTTTACATTGCTGTCTTGGTGGGTGGCAAGACATTAATTTAATATTCATTGTAAAACGTAAATGTTTTCTATTAAAAGCATCAATTTTATTTCACCGTTTAATAGGTGATGCCCAACTATTTGAGTTATATCAATTTCAATTCAATTCAATTCAACTTTTATTTCTGAAGAGTTTCCTTCCAGACAACAATCACAAGAAAAACAAGGCCTAGCATTAAACAGTATATACAAACAATATAGATAAATAACATGGGCCTGAAAGAAGTTAATTAATTAATCACTCAATCAACCAATCAATCAAATTAAAGACGATGCACGATGTTTCAACAATCAATGCCTACTGTGCATTTAAATAAAAACTGATTCCACTTCAAGTTCAATTTTGAATGACATAATTTTAGAACAAATACATTTGATAAGGCTGTTGCAACTTATCAATTTTGGTCTTAAAGCTGTACGCAGTACATACAATATAACTGACACAACAAGGGCATCATATAGCTTTAGTTTACATTGTAAATATATATTCTTATTGCTCCACATTTTCATTTTACTAAAAAAATGTTTACCCTCAGAAATAAGCCTACTGTATTATTTAATATTGATTATCCCAAAGGTTTATGATTAAGCCATTCCTCATATCTATGTTCATTTGTATCACATAACATGAGTAGGCATATATTCACCTTTTAATGTGCAACTGCCACTCTCTAGAAGCATCAGTGGCTATTGGTAATATTTGATTCAAATTACTATTGGATGATAATAATAATGATAATAAGGTTAATGTATTACTGTACTCGTTAAAGCTTTCACTACCTCACGAAACTTCATATTATGATCTGAAAATCCATATTATGGATATTGACTATTTTTCTGATATAAATTGAAAACAAAAAGTGACCTTCAAGGCAATAAGTTCCTTTAAATCCTGTTGGACATATGCACGTCCCGGTGCTAGCATCACATATTCCACCATTATAACAGTTGTCACATATTCCAGTGCAGGCTGGTGGTCCCCACTTTCCCGACGGGCAACCTGATGATCATAAGTTAATTTAGTAGTGTACTGTATAGTTGTTTTTTCATTAATAATGTGCTTTATTTACAATGCGCTGATTTAAAGTTTAGTAGTACCGGTACGTTTTTTTTTTTTTTTTTTCTACACTTGTTTGTTGCCCATTGTTTTTCTGACTTATAACCTAAATGAATAGGCGCTATATAAATACTAAAATAACAATAACAATTTCAAATGTTTCCTTTGTTCTCCAAGTATCGAAATGCACGCCATCATGTCGGGATACAATATTTCGACAATAATCATGTCATCAATGTCCCAGACCAGAACGGATAAACTAATCTGAATGAAACTTTCGGGAAATTTCAGCCAAGTTACAAAGAAGAAATTATTAAATGTTGGTGAATATCCAGTTTTGGGTTTGAATTTGATGGTCATTTAAAGTTCCAAGTCCCATACCTAAACTTTCTAGAATAGTTTTTCATGGTCCAATGAAAACATTTTGGTGACAATCCGGAGTAGAGTGTGGATACGAAGACCATCTAAGAATTTTATTGGATAGTTGATTGAATTATAAACGCAATTTGCGTTTTCTAACGCGTTTAAACCAGCTGCAGCATAGGTCAAACGCAAAAAATGCACTGAATTTCTATGAATTATACAAAAAATGCACTGACCTACGCAGTGTTGGCTCATATAGCGCGTAATGGTTATCCATTTATTATTACAATTACAATAATGATAATAATAATAATAATAATAATAATAATAATAATTATTATTATTATTATTATTATTATTATTATTATTATTATTATTATTATTATTATTATTATTATTATTATTATTATTATTATTATTATTTACCTCGAATGATAGCGTTAACTAATGAATGCTGCTTTAAGTTTCTTTTTCCAAGTTCGTATACTTCGTAAATCCCTGAGTCATTAATCGTTACTGGGTCAAGGGTTAGAAACGCCTCCCCTGTATCTGAAGATTTGTCTCTAAACAGGACCTCACCATTCCTTCTCCATTCAATGGGTTTGTTCGTGGTCAAGCCAGTAAAACCGATGTCCAATCGATCGCCAGTACTCGCTCTGATGACTGAGCTGAGGTTGGTTGGAAGTACCGTAGCTTTAAATTTCAAAGATTATATTTAGCACTTTAATTCTATAGAAATGGTAATGTCGGAGTGTCATTTGTCATGATAAATGTTATAATAGGCCCTGTGTCCGTTGGAGGTATTCTATTCCGTGTTCCCGACGGAGGGATCCCATATCCCCAACGAGGGGGATGGGGTTCACCAACGAGGATAAATGGGTAGGACCCGGGCAACCCATATAAGTCCTCAGAAGGGATGCAGTTTGAAATCCCCTGAAACTCCGACAATTTAGAGATTTGAAAGGCCTTGATTTTAGAGTCTCACCACCTGTAACAACTTCTTTTCCTCCCTGGAGTTTTATTTATTATTAAAAGCATTTCGCTTTTGCTATCCCAATAAATGTTAGGCCTGTTTCTAAAGTGGTGTTTGTTTTTTTTTTACAGGGGAACAATACATTATGATAGAAGGCAAAACGTTTATGTTGCTTACTTCCGAAGTGTTTGGTAAGCATCTTGATGTTTGTTTCCATGTCCTCTTTTGTAATATTCGCTTTAGCATAATAAACACCAAACGGCTGATCTCCATTTAAGTCCAATGCTATATGCATCGTAGTAGGTCGGCCTACTGGTCGTTGATATGATACGAGTCGATGATCTACGCCCGCAAGACTTTCGCTATTTCCAGCATTGGACTCTTTTCCAAACAAGATTTCAACAGGTTCACCCGGGAAACTTGAATACACCTTAAAATTGACTGTGACATCTTCGGGGTCGCGGGTTGGAGCATAGTGTATAACACTAAACCGTGGTCCCGTTACACTACCTTCAACAGTAATATATTCAAGATTATATCAAATTAAACTACCAATGCTAATAATAATAGGCCTACGTTTAAACAATGTGTATGGTGTAAAGATAATACATAAAATACTAAACACTCATGCTAATGTAAATATAGCGTATTTGTCCCTACCTTCTTGTTGATAAGTTACTTTATAGAATTAAAGAGCTTACATTCATGCCTTTTGTAGGCCTAATAAAAAAAATTGTTACGATCGTCAAACTCAATTAGTTCAGTATACATCATAGGCCTTATTGTAAGCTAATTGACCTGGACTAGGTTCCTTAACGACTTAATAAGACCCTTTTATCATACAGTGTATTCATGACTCATTTTCTATTGGGTGAATTAATTCCTGTTAAACATTAATATTATATCATTAGCAATTCCTCATCTTTTTCTAAATTATCAATTTAGACATCTAGGGACCACAATGATGGGTTCTCCCCATAACCCATAAAAGACAAAGGCAACAACAATGGTCAATGATAGAAGTTACGCACCACAAGTTTCATATAAACTTTGTAGGGAATGAATGATTCCATGATCAGCTCATCTTTTCCCGACGAGCCTAAAGGTTCTAAATAGCGAATACGGTACTCTCCTCATCCAAAAACTTGGATATAGAGCATAAGGTTAAAAAAAATGATCGCTTAAACCTAAATTTGCAATGGACCCTAAATTTTCGTAACACCTACTATCCACGCCAAGCCGCAAAAAGAGACTTGGTTGTCAATGTTCGTAAATGAACACCTCTACAAACCTCAAGCCTGATAATGAGGAGTTTCCTGAACATGGCTTGAGTGCGCATCATAATGGTCCCCAGTCTCATAATTATTAGGTTGGGTTTTTGTAGGCATCGGACTTTCCAAATCAGATTCCGTCCCCATGGATGGACCATAATATGTCGTATAACATAATAATGATCAGAGTCGCTAACAGTAATAGTAAAAACAACAATCCACTACAATGAATTTTTTTAATAAATGCACTTACCATGACATAAGGTTATAATTAGCAGAAGGGAACCACATAGTATCAACATTTTGTTTTAAATTTTTGGCCCATGCCAACGGTATTAGTCGGAAAATTTTAACCACTCGTGTGTCACCTTTCTTCACCCGTGACTGACTACTGTGTACTTTTGGGAGTTTGTCATAATGCACCAGGAAACAATCACACTTTACACAGATGATATCTCGATATCATAAAATTGTTTCGATTGAAATTTTGTTGAGTTTTGTTGTAGACTCGCTTCAAGGACATAATTACTTATAGGACTATAATAAAAACAAGTAAAATGAAACTTCTTTTTCTACCGACAAAACATGAAACAATTAAATATACAGTAGTGCAAATTACAACAGCAACAAAAACAATAAACATAGATAATATGCTTACACTTGCGAAAGATATCGATTAGGCGACTTTCGATTTTTTTTTCCGTTGGGGGTCATACTGTACCCACATTTATTTTTAACCATCTTTTCCCCTCCATTTTCACATTATACATCCCAACATAATAATAAATTGATTTACTTATTACGATGACTTTCGATTTTTACTACAATAACTTAAATTTAACTACGAACCTATTACAGTGCTCTTATTCCGAGACCCCTGTCGGTGGTCTCAAATTAGATGTTTGCCGCCCTCTAAGGTTTTGTTTGTTGTACACAATTACTGTGGTGTACCGAAAGTTTTTGTTATTGATAGGCCTACTCGTCATGCAAACCTTCAAGAAATATTTTTTTACATTATTAAGTTGACCACAAACATTATGCTTTATAAACAATGTATTTGTCGGTATTATTATGCTTGTCTTCTTTTCCCGCCTTACGAACTAGCAAACAAATCATTTAGTAGAAATACTAATTATTCGTCCAGTTTACAGTCGTATCAATAAATAAAGACAAATCATATCACATTAACATCTAGGCCTACTGTTTTTCTTTTTCTTTTTTCAAGTTTATAACACTTTATTTAGCCTATGTTTCACTGCACTGCCACTTCCAATTTAAAAATTGGTACTTGTACTGAAAGTGCCTACAGATAGAAAGAATGAATAAAATAAATAAATAAATACGGAAAAAAGGCAAACCCACCCCCCACCCCTAAAAAAAAAAAACCCCAAAAAACACGGTTACTCATCGCCCTATCTTCGTTCCGTATGGTAATTCCATTTTGTGTTCTTCGTAAGAAAATCTGACAATAACGGACTTACAGTTTGTTTGTGTGGATCTAATCGTTCTAGACAGCCATCAGTAATCGACTCAGCTGATTACAAATACCCATTATATTACGTCAGTGTTTAACGCGTCAACTTGCAAGAGAAGTAATTATGGACGCGATTAATAATATCGAATGAGTCACAATTCACGTCGTTGATATTACTCAGAATGTTTTTTCCAACCCAGGTATATACAAATTGCAATATTTATGAAAATATATTCAATGTGTAAAAAAGCTACGAAATCAAAACAAAAACACTATTTGATTTTATTTGTTTAGGTCACGTTATCTAGTCAATAGAACATCAGAAATACAATAATTTATTTATTGTTTTTTAAATAGGCCTATATAATTTCTTGCGTTTTTTAGTGGATATAAAACAAAACCTAAAAACTAAAACTAAAAAAAAAAAAAAAATAAAAAAAAATAAAAAAAAATTCTCACGTTTTTATAAACGGCTTATGGCTTCGCTGTGACTTCAACAGACTTGATAGAATATTTTCCATGGAGCCTCTATTATTATACGGTAAACAAGGGGACTCATTCTGTCGGAGACCAAAAGTTTATCTCCCTAATATGGATGATACTGGTGGTTGATTCTGTTGTTTAAGGTGGTCATATGACATAATATCCGACTGGGAAGCTTAACACCCCGACACAATGGCGTAGAGCCAGCTAGGAGTATCAAATGGCGGTGCAGGTGGTGGTTGGTGGTATTCGAAGGTTAATTGGGGGAGCTAAATGATTCAGTGAGGGGATAGCTGGCAAAATACGGTGATAATATGAAGTGATTTTTAACTATGGCGGCTATATCAAATAGTGGGTGTTTAGGGGAAGGGGCGAGGCACGTACCAGGACCCCTCCCCCACCTCGCACCCGCGTAGATACGGCACACTGTCCCGACATAGTTCGTGAAAGACGAAGTAGGGCCTATAATTCCAGGGAATTAATAAAGTGATGAAACTAAATAGGCATATACCGTATTTATTCGACGCGATCGTGACGTTTATTGTTGAGAAGGATTTTTGCGGGGGATGTTTATCCGAGGGAGGCGTTTTTATTTTCATTGATGTAAAATGGATAAATACGGTAGGTAGCCTATATAGGCCTATTCAAATAAACGCCCCTAAATTTTTCTGTTTAATATGAAAATTACAACATATAGGCCTATTCCTATTAGCGTCAAAATGATGCGTGATCCAAGGACTAGTACCGTATTAATCCCAACCCCGGAGAGTAACAGAATTTGTGGAGAAAGAATTTGCTTCCATTAGATTTGTTTACAGTTATTTAGGAATGGGGCTTTATTCGAGGAAGGTGTTTACACCAAATGAGGCTGGGGGTGGGACGTTTATTCGAGGGAGGCGTTTATTCGAATAAATACGCAAAATATATTACTGTGAAATAGGCAGTTTCCATGATGTTCCAGCAAGAAATAAGTTGTCAAAAAATACAAATTTGAGAAATATAATTGCTAATTATGAAATTCTTTTATTGATAAAAGGCAAAATATCCTCATTTGAACATATTGTTAATTAGCTATTTTTGTTATTACAGTATTGCATAACCGTAAATACGCAAAATATAATTATTGCTGTGAAATAGGCAGTTTTCGTGATGTCCCAACAAAAAATAAATTGTCAAAAAATACAAATTTGAGAATTATAATTGATAATTATGAAATCCTGTTATTGATAAAAGGCAAAATATCCTCATTTGAACATATTGTTAATTAGTTATTTTTGTTATTACAGTATTGCATAAACGTAACAATCCAACTGCGATGATTCCGCAATATATAATGTGCCTTAATATTCTTACCCCCTCAGTTTAATCTACTATATTGTTGATTGCGAATACATTTGAGTAGTATAACAAAACTTTCCTTATAAATTTAAAACATATTATTATTTCTTGTTTGGTTATTTTAAGTTTTAAAACAATCATTGTATTATTGCATTAAAAATTATATAAAATATAATACTGTGAAGGGACGAATGTAAAGACATATAAGCGGGAAGAGCCAAATCTTTGTAATGCTAATAAGATTAGTTCATTACTCTGTAGGGGTGAATTTATATAATCTTATAACAATTTGTTAAGGTATATAGAACTCCTATACAATTATACATATCAAAATAACATTATATTACACTATTTTATAAATAATATAATTTATATATTCAAGAGGTGTTTATATTGTTACTATAAATCGATAAACATATTAACACCCCTTATGTATGATGTGATCACCTACTTTTATTAATGACATTTCTCAATTATTTCCAGTGTACAAATACAGTGAGTGGTGGCCATTTTGGTCTCATTTGTTATTTTTTCAGTGGTTCGGAATTCAATATATATATTAGTTTATACGAAGTTGGACATACGAAAACAGTTGGAGTACATTTTCTAGGATGGCTAGTGCAAAAGCACTATTTCTCTTTGCTGTGTTTTTACACTTGGACAGCATATATTGCCAAGGTATTACGACAGGTATGTAGCGTGAAAAGCTAGGCTAGCATCGTTGTCAACAACGTTGAATATGGTGGGGCCTAACAACGGGTAGGCCTAGCGCTGGTGTAGGTTAGTGCTGGCGCTGTGCAGTGTGCCCACACAAAACCGGAATGGATCTTTAGCTTAATTAGGTAGCTTTACACTTAATGTGCCTTTTTGACCGTTTATATTATTATGCCCATGTTGATAGAAACTAGGAAAAATTTTATATTTTTAATTAAGCTTTAAATTAAAATGTTGGTTTGTTTGCCAAACAAAACCAACAATGAATGCGATTGATTTTGATAATCTGAATTGTTTTCATAGCTCTAGGCTAGGGCCTATGCCTAGTCTAGCCCCCCTACACTAGCTAAGCACGGACATATTTTCTTTCAAGCCATAAATAGATAGATGGTGCCTAGCCTAGGCCTAGTCGTTATGCTTTTTGTCCTGAACATTTTTTTTTTATTGGATTCAAAATATGGTACCGTCAAACTTACTGGTGAGCATCAACAAACCCTGTACCTACTGTAATACCCTATTCAGATTACACTCTGTTGCGATTGGTTGCGATGTAATCGGTGGTAATCAGTGGAAATCCAAAACTGACTATTCCAAATGCATTCAGACCAACACAACAAACATTACATTCTACAGCAGGGCTGGTGGCTAGGCCTATATTGACTGACCTCGGCCAAACAGTGCCTGTGGAATTCGTTTTGATCGGATCCCGTGGAAATCGAGAGTAATAAAGATTGTAGCACCCAATCGCAGCAGGTAACACACGATTTTACTTTGCGATTGGGTGCCGCAATTACTACCAAGATCACAATGCGATGCTAGACTGAAAGAGGTATAAAGCCTATCTGCCTTGTCTTTTTTGCTGTGTCCAAGTTAGAATTATGTGTACACCGCTCATATTTTACTATAATGCCGGTATGCCTCCTTTAACACGTT